AATAAGAAAGTAATTTTAGGTATTTCCCTCTGTATAATTCCAACTATCAAAGAAAATGATAGTTATTTTCCTTCTAAGGATTTCTGCTTTTTGTTAGGTAATAATGCATCATTGTGATGCTTTCTTTTTCCAACATTGATTATTTTTTTTTTCTTCTTGATAAATTCCATAGGTAATCCTTTTTTTATCCAAATATATTTGCAAGGATTTAGTATCTTTTAATTTAAAAATATAAGGAGCAATTTTCTCACCCTGTTCTTTTTTCAAGATACTTCTAATGGTGCTATAATTCTTGGGTTCCATGGTAGACCTAATGTAAATTAACTTCATATTAACTATTTTTATATAGAGGTAATTCTATATATCACCTAATATTAAGAGGTAACAAATGGAAGATTTTAATAATCACATTACTAAATTTTGATCCCTGAAATCTTCGTAACACTAATGTTCACTTTGTTGCAGCATGCCTCATATATGACTACACTGATACTTTAATGATTGGCAGCCAAAAAAATTATCCACTGGTTAGAGACACCGGATTTATGCATTTGCATAATTTTTGCATAATTTGCATAATTGTACTACATAAATTAATGGTCAAATCTGCTTTTCAGAGAGTAAAAGAAAAAAAATCACAAAGATGAATTTTATGCTGATGGGACAAAGTTATTTTGCATTGCTTGCAAACATGTAGTATTTTTTTCCTATTATTAATAAATAATAATTTTAAAAATAGATTGATCCAAGACTTAGAATTTTTTTAAAAATTTGTGACAAGGCTATAGCACCTTATGTTTCCTTATGCATTGAAAACACAAAAAATTTATTAAGAGCTGGCATTGAAAATCCTCCTTTAAATCAAAGTATGATTGATTTATGTAGAATTCACAATGTATCAGAAGAATCTTTAATGTAAACATTTTCTCAAGCCTTTCTACTTGCTTATAACAAATTATGTAAACATGCTAATAGACATTCAGCATTACCATTTTTTAAAGAAATTCAATGTTTTAATCCAAAATTTATTAGAGCTTCTTCATCTCAAAAAAATATTTTGTTATATTCATATATCAAGGAATTTATAAATCAAGAAGATGAATTGATCAATGAATGAGTATTTATTGTGGAAATTTAGATAATATTGGACTGATAAACAACAATGCTTACCATTACTTTCTAGGATTGCTTTAGGGTATATATGGCTTTCAGTCTCTGGGGTGGATGTAGAACAAAGCTTTTCACATTTTAAGTGATAGATGACATAATCTTTCAGAAAATTCATTAAAAATACTTAATTCTTTATATTATAACAAATAATATTGATTTAAAATTATTTGTTTAATAATATAAAAATTTTTTATAAAAGTTAGTTTATGTTGAGGAGGTGTAACCAATCAAATTTTTAATTTTTGAAGATCGTTTTTAAAATTGTACTAGTTACACAACAAAATTTCAAAGCGCATAATTTGCATAATTTAATGTTTGTTGCCGCATAAATCCGGGGTCTCTACCACTGGTATCATAGTAAAATTCGTGTTATGTACACTCTACCCTTAAATGGGTAGTTGTTGGTGAGTAGGTATGCCACCAACAAAACAGCAATCCAGAATTTGAAACTGAATTCAGGGAAAATCCAAAACAACAACCCAGGTTGCAACCTCCCAAGTTGCAAAATTTTAATCAGTTGCAGATGCCAACTTTATTCTAGTGAGAGAAGTATAACATGAAGCAATCATCATACAAATGCTGAACCTCATCAGTGATCAATGCTCATATGGCAACAACCAGTCTTGGTCTGAGAGGAAGATAAGGGAAGTTTTTGCCACTTTACAGCAACCCTTGTTGAAGTTGTCACTTGTCTGAAGCCTTCCAACATGTTTAAGTCTGTTTCACCTGTGGAAAAAAAAATTCCATGGTGCTGAATTGTGCTTAGTTGCACCATCTTGCATGTTTGTGATAGGAAATTTTTTACTAAATCTGACACCTGTGATCAACATCAGATTATGAAAACATTATGGATCATGGGTCAAAATCCATAATATTATAGAAATCAAAAAACAATTATTATTATGGCGAACAACTATAGTTTGAATCCATTCCATTAATATCATGTAGCATTATTTCCATCTTAATGGATTAATCCAGGGTTGGCAAATTGACTGGTCCATTGAGAACTGATGGACTTTGAGCTGGTCCATTGCCATTAATAAAATACTAAATGTAATTAAAATGTTACACTAATGGACTCAATGGACCATCAATGGACCACCAATGGACCACACATTTGCCAACCCTGGATTAATCTGTTACAAATCTGGATGAGAAAAATCCTTAAATGTTTCTTAATGGGTCAAAATATTCTTAATGGATCCATAAAATTAACCTGTTAATAATCTGGTCACAATTAAGGTTGCTTGTCAAAACTCTGTCAAAACTCTAATGAACAATTAGTGTATACCTTGTTGAAACTCTGACAATTGGCAAAACCCCCAAATGCAAAACTCTGCTGAAACTCTAATAAACATTTAATGTGTAACCTGTCAAAACTCTGTTGATTGATTTCTGGAGGAGTTTTGCCCACAACCTTAGTCACAATGCTACATTTGATATCACTCAATTTATTTGTCTTTTACTAAATAAGCACCTACAACATCAGTATTTTTTTATTCATTCTTTGACTTTTTAAAATTTGAACAACTAACTTCACATTTTCTCTTTTTAGGGTTCTTTAGCTCTTTGAGTACTTCCAGGTGATTTTGTTCAAAAACCAAATGACAATTATTCTTATCAATGATAGCTAAAAATTGATCACCACCAATATCCAAATCTCCTAAACCTTCATCTGCCTCAGCACTGCTATTATCTTCTTCAGTCAATTTCACTATTGCAGGATAAGTGATAAGAATTCTAAATACACCTTGATATTTTTGGAGAACTTTTTGCATTTTATCAAAATGCTTATTCCAGCCTTTAAGTAACTGGTAGTTAAGAAGGAAATGGTTATTTATAACATCTTAAAGAATACAAAATCGGATTTTAAAAACAAACATTCTGATACCTGTCCCTTACTATCATGATAAAACTTTGATGTATTTGTAGTTCTTAATGCATGTTCTAATTTGTCTCCACTAAGTCTATAACGAAGTTTTGCTTGAGCAAAAACAACATACCTAAATTCATATGTAATTCTCCTAATCAATATTTTTTTTCACTCTTTAATCATCATTATGAATGGGCACAGAAACATACCTTTGTTCTGGTGTATCTGTTGGATAAACTATGGTTACTATGTCTGGTCCAGCTTGATCTTCAGGGATGAAGAAAGAGGCATGAGGAGATTCAAGAAAATCTGGAAGATGGTAGTTAGAAGTATTATATATTAATTGAACATTACATTCACAGCTTTCTTTTGATGGTTCAAGAATCTTCCAACTATTTGATAAAAGTTTTTTCTGGAAACAACTGTGTGCTTCCTGGCATTGAAAAAGCTTTTTAATGGCATCTGGAATGAGCAATTCCCACAATAATTCCATACTGCTTGGGCTGTAATGTACATCTGTCATATGGTCTAAAATGTACAATGAAATATCTTTATGTGTTTTAAAATATGACAATGCTGATGCTACCACAAAAGGTTCACTCATAAGAACTTGCAATTTACCATATGGTTCAACTTGTTGTAACCGTACAATCCCAAATTCAAATAACTCTAAAGCATCTTTCCTTGTAAAAATTGTATGAGAACCAGTATACCAGTACTTCAATACTGCACGTTCTAACAATGCAATTATATCTAAACAATTTTTTTTTTGTAGCATCTCTTTTAACCACACACTGTCTACTCTCCTGACAATATCAGCCATGATACTTTTTTCACTTGATGGATCAATATAACTTTCTAAAAAATTCTCAAACAGTTTCTCTATATCATTTCTACTAATTAACCATTCTTCCACGAAGGTTGCTGCAAACCTTACCCTTCCCAAAAACCATCGCATCATATTCTGATAAGATTCACATGGGAATCTGAATATTGATAAGTATTTTCTTAATTCCTCAGTTGAATTGAATGCACAATCTACAATAATGATATTATCATCTTTGATTCCACCTTTTACAATGTGTGAACCAGTATATTGTTGAATTGATTTCATGCTTAAACCAGTCCCAGAAGGAATAACACAAATATGTGGTAGAAGTGAAAAGGTTCTAACAATTAAAGTATACAATGGGTGACCAGTTTTATCATCCTTGTAGAAAGAAGTAAATTGATTGTAAGATGAGTCAATAAGTGCTGTGGCTTCATCCAGAATAGTTGGAAATGCATTCTGCATGATTTTTAAATAAATAATCAAATGAATGTAAGCAAATTAAATTACAAGAAAAAGCAAAATCAATGAAACTCTACCTGTTTTGTCTTTTTGCTTATTTGATTAATTAACTGGTGCAACCTCTTTTCCAAAAAATTTACAGGTAAAGCTCTAAATTGGCATGTCAATTCCATAAAAGCATCATCTATACCATTTACATTTTTAAAAAAATATTCTGGGAAAAGTTGTAGAAAGGCCCAATTGTGTGCACTTATAGAACAATGGTGCTCTAGTATATAGTTAAGAGTATATACACGAGCAAGCAATAGGCATTTACAGTACCTTTCTGCATAATTATCATTATCAGTTGATGGGCCATCCTTCAGTCTTGGTATCAGGTAACTAATAAAATTTGTAAGATCCTTTGAGCCTGGGTTATGATATGCTCTTGCAACAGTTCCAGAAAAGTAAAATCCAAACTTCTTGCAAAGTAATTCTATCAATGTTCTAGTTTTTCCTGATCCTGAAGTCCCCAACATCACAACAAGTTGTTTATATGGTGGCTCTAACAAATTTTCTAATTTCGAAGTATTAGTCATACCTCCTTGACCATTGGTGGGAAGATCATGTATAAGAAGGAAAGGCCGATCACCATTTTTATGAAAAATATTTGAGGGTAATCTGAGATTCTTGATTTCATTTATATAATGATGGTTTTCATCTGGTTTGAAAATGGGAAGACTTAATTGTGATTTACATGCCTCAAATAAATCTTTAAATTTATCAAGAATATCATCTACTTTAGCAAAAACAATTTCTGCATCTTGCTCTTCAATGCTCCAACTTGATGTTGATGAATTAGAACATTTACAACCTATCAAGACAAAGAAAAGTTAATGATATGTTTAGAATTCAAAAAAAAAAAAAAAATAATAATAATAATAATAATACAAATAAACAAATGGAAAATAATTTTTTTATGCAATTTGCTCATTACCTTTCATTTCACTAAACTCAACTAACTTCCCCTCCAGCTCATTTAATATCTTCTCTTTTTCCTCTAGCTTTTTTTTTGTTTCTTCTAATGACAAGTGAAAGCACAAATTAGAAAATGGATAAACAGTATTACATACTAAAATATGGAATAATAAATATTCAAAAAATGTGATTGAAGAATAAGTTATAATGCATACCTTGTACTATATATATATAGAATAAAAAGGAAAAAAAACATAAGAAAAACAAGTAAAAAGTCATTATTAAAAATTAAATTCATAAACAATATATGAATATTCTCTCAAACAGAACATTAGAGATTAGGAATGAATGCAGACACAATATTTCATGAATTATATACTTGTTTTAAATGTGTCTTTATCTGTTGTGGAAGTAAAAGTAGTAACATAACGAATTAGTGAAAGTTAAAACAATATATCAAACAAATAAATAAACAAACGGAATGAACGAAAAATAATTTTTTGTATTAGTATATTTTTTTTACGCAATTTGCTTATTACCTTCTTCATTGTTAAAATCTTTTAACGCTCTTACCAACTCCCTCATCAGCTCTTCCCAATCGTTTATATCCTTTTCCAGCTTCTCCTCTTTTCTCTCCAGCCTCTTCTTCTCCTCTTTGTCATATTCATCAAGTTCTTTCCTCTTCCTTCTCAACGTCTTCAGCAACATTCCTTCTTCCCCTTCCCCCCACTT